GTTTTATTTCATCAGTGCTTCTATCAATTAGGCCTTAGAGAAACGGTCAGCTGTGGTAAAACAATCTTTGTCCTCATGGAGCTTTAAGTATATGCAGATAGAAACCAAAATGTGCATCAATTTAGCTAGATAAAATAGATAATAATCTGAGGAATGAGAAAGCTAATGATCTGGTGTTAAAGTGTTAAGGCAAGTGAAGAGACTGATCTCAGGTATTAGAAGCAGGGGTAAAAACACAGTGCTTTTGTAGGTAAAATTACAGAGAAGACCGAGGAGGTAGTAAAGAGCTATTCTCCTGGGCTGGAGAGATGGCTCAGAGGTTAAGAGCATTGACTGCTCTTCCAGAGGTCCTGAGTTCAATTCTCAGCAACCACATGGTGACTCACAACCACCTGTACTGAGATATGGCACCCTCCTCTGGCGTACCGGCATACATTGAGGCAGAATGTTGTATACATAATAAATAATTTAAAAAAAAAAAAGCTATTCTCCTTGGGTTGCATATGCAATAAGATATGTATTCAAGAAAGGCTATAGAAGAATTAGCAGGCACAAATCCTGGTTATTAACACATTACACACGAATCCACAATAGATGCCTCACAGCATGGCATTCTACAAAAATAGTGAACAAAAGTGGAGGAATACTTGGAAAATAAGTTAATCACAATGATCAACAGGAAGACAAAAAAATTAAGATTGATAGATGAATGTATGGAAGGGACACAGGACCCAGCCTATGAAGAATGTGTAGCAAGAAATCAGAGCTGAAGTAATTTATTTTACTTGCTATTTTAAGTAGCTTATATTAAATACAATCATTAGGAGATTATCTTAGTTACTAATAGAAATGCCTCCGAAGACATTAGGGAGTCATTTCTGTGCATCAATGAAAGCAAGACCCAATAGAAATAAGATCTTCATGTCCAATCTCAAATCACAACACACCTAACCAACGCTTACACACTCTACCGGCATCTCAGCTGTATACAAGTGAAACACTTTTTAATTGAGTAGTTCATTGAAGCTCTGCAGTGAAATGGAAGACAAACTACAGGTGTGAAGAGACATCACAAAGACAGACTTGTGAGCCTGTATTCATCAAGTATGTGATAGTAGTTTGGGGGTACAAAGATGGGAAACTGGAGAACTGTCCTCTGAAACCTGGCCTGGGAGCGGGAAGAGAAGGCTCAGGATCTGGGCTAGCAAAAGGACCTTTTTAATAGGAAAAGGCTATATCTATGAAGGACAAAATATATTATAATATTAGGTTCGCTAATGCCTGCAACCCCAATTGAGCCAAGTTTGAGAGCAGACTGCCTCCGCCTCCTCAGTGCTAGGAGTAAAGGCATGCGCCACTGCTTTTTTAATGTTTGAGGCAAACATTTTTGACAAGTTCTCGGGCTGAAGATGTAGCACAGCTGGCAGGCCCTGGGCTCCATCCTCAACACAATTTGAGAAGTCCTCGCACACCTGTAAGGCAGGAGGATCAGGAGGCTCAGTCACTAGATACCAAGGTAGAGAATTTTGTCTGGAAACCATGTCACAAAACAAGTCATAATAACTTTACACCCAACTGTCAATCTTTACAATCTACCATGAATTTATTCACAAACAGTAAATAGTAAGGGTCTTCCCTCCCATGGAGTTTTCATCTAGTAATTTTGTCCACTGTTCAACATATGATCCTGGGTTCAGTCCCCAACAATGGAAAAAACTGGCAAGAGCTGATCTTATTTAATAACAGAAAAAAGCAGCTTAGGTGGCTAGAGATGGCTTGGCAGTTAAAAGTGTATGGTGTTCTTACAGAGAGCCAAGGTCAAGTTCCCAGACACCCACAAGAGGTTCAGAATGCTCTAGGGGAACACACCCATGGGAAGTTTAAGTTTACAGTATTTAATATCCTTGCCCAGAAACCTATCCCTGAGGAAGAACCATGAGTGTGTAGATGTTACTTCTACACAATGAACTGCTTTCCCTTTCAGGATAACTCAACAGTAGGGTGGCACATTGAGAAACACGAGTTAGTAAATTGATTCACTGTAGGAGTCTCTACACAGCAGTAGGCAAAAAATCTCAAGAATTCACCAGCTCAGAGAAATGGTTTTCCTAAGAGTTCAGCACAGCTCCATTAGCAGGAGCACAATTCTCAAGAGTCATTTCCACCCTTCTCAAGTCTCTAATTAGTTGCTCTTACCCTGTTCTTTTCCTTTGTGTAAATTCCTAGGCACTGGAGAGGTCTTTTTGCATCCCTTTGGGACCTGCAGAACTTATCCCATTGGGTTTTTTCTAACTATAATTTAAGACCTGGCCCAAAATTTCAAGAAAAACCCTGTCACCTGTTTAAACCCAGTAAGTGACAAAGTAATAACAGCCACCATCAATGGCAGCACTAGTTGCCTACCTTTTTTTTGACTTTTGAGACAGGGTTCCTCTGTCCTCAAAGTCCGAGGTCTATTTGTTTCTGCCTCCAGAGCATTAGGATTCAAGGTGTGCACCACCACCAGCTCTGCCTACTTATTTCAAACATGTTCCTTTAATTTATGCAGACCCAGGACCTGTTGCCCTTGCTTCAGACCAGGGTTCACTTCCCAGCACCCGGGTGGCTCACATCCATCTTAACTCCAGTTCTAGGGGACCTGCTAGCTCGACTTCATGCCATCAGGCACGCAGAGGACACACAAATATACACACATGAAATTTTAATATTTATTTCTACATGAATGGGTGTTTTGCCTGCTTATATGCCTGTGCACCACATGCATAGTGTCCTGGGACTGGAGTTGAAGGTTGTGAACCACTGTGTGTGGATGCTGGGTATTAAGCCTGGGTCCTCTGGAAGACTGAGTTATCCCTCCAACCCCTAAAAAAAAAGTAATTTAAAGCCTCCTGCCAAGCCTCACAACTTGAGTTGGATTTCCAGAACCCACATGAGTGTTTTCGTCCTCTTACCTCCACTAGTGAGTAGCACCATGTCTCCATATGCTCACAAAACTGCAGGTACAAAAATCCCTGCAGGGCCGGGCGATGGTGGTGCACGCCTTTAATCCCAGCACTCGGGAGGCAGAGGCAGGTGGATCTCTGTGAGTTCGAGACCAGCCTGGTCTATAGAGCTGGTTCCAGGACAGGCTCCAAAACCACAGAGAAACCCTGTCTCGAAAAAGCAAAAAAAAAAAAAAAATTAAAAAACAAAACAAAACAAAAATCCCTGCAGGGGGCTGGAGAGATGGCTCAGTGGTTAAGAGCACTGCCTGCTCTTCCAAAGGTCCTAAGTTCAATTCCCAGCAACCACATGGTGGCTCACAACCACCTTAATGAGGTCTGCAGGCATACACACAAACTGAATATTGTATACATAAGTAAATAAATATTTAAAAAAAAAATCCCTGCAGGAGAGGCATGGTAGTACATGCCAGTAATCAGACTGCTTGCAAGGTACAGGAACTTACTGTTACATAGTAACATAGTTAAGGTTTGGTTACACAAGACTGTCTTTCAAAGAGTGCTCTAAACCAGATGTGGCACCTGCCACCCCATAACTTGGGATGGGTGTGGGAGTGCTCACCTACCATTCCAGCACTTCAGGGATGGAGATATTAGGCCAAACTCTCACAGGAACTATCTGTCTCAAAATAGTCTTGGGCCTGACAGATTCAGTGGTTTATCTTGCTGGTCCCCTAGAATACCTGGTTCTGAGCCAGTCATCCCAGGGGATCCACATACATGTCATATACCTTTGCTTAAAATATCTTTAAGTTCATTACAAATGGTGAGAACCACTAGAATAGAAGCCATATAAACCCAAGGATAACGAGGATGATCTTTTTCTTCTAGATAATAGTCACTTTATTCTTTCAGATAAGAAACACAGACAAGTTTGGCATGTGATTGATGACTCTAGCACTCAGGAGGCTGATCCAGTTGGATCACCTACTTGAGGTTAGCCTGGGTTAGACTATCTTAAAAATGTGTGAAGATACATTTTGATACTGTAACTAATGCTGTTCCATCCCAAGGCCTGAACTTCAAAGGTCAGAAATGTTACTAAATCTATTCTGCTACCTCTTTGTCAGTAGCCCCTGGGAATTTTTTTAAAGCTTTCAAACATTTGGGAATTTTTACCCTGAAAGTTTCAATGAAATTCCAATCTCAGTGTTCATCAGTAAAAGCTTTATTGGAATATAGCGCATTCATTTGCTAATACATCGTCTGCTTTTCACACACAGTTGCAAAAAACACATTATTAACAATATTTCCTATCTGGAGTGTTATAGGAACTTAAAAGACCTTTGCTTTTCAAAACCAGTGTCCCCAAAGCATTTGAAATGTTCTGAGCTGTCATAAGATGGTTACTATTCAAACAGATCCCTAGAACAAAGTAGTGAGCCATGTCCAGTAGTACATGGTCGTCATCTAGTACCTCAAGATGTTATAGCTGGGGGTCTGGAGAGGTGGCTCAGAGGTTAAGAGCACTGACTGTTCTTCCAGAGGTCCTGAGTTCAATTCCCAGCAACCACATGGTGGCTCACAGCCATCTGTAATGAGATCTGGTGCCCTCTTCTGGCCAGCAAGCATACGGACAGACAGAACACTGCACATATAATAAATAAATCTTAAAAAAAGAAAAAGAAATTATAGCTGGGGATGCAGCTCAGCTGCCCTGGTGTGGATTCCATCACTGCCCCATCCCCAAACTGTAGCTGGACTTTGCAAGCATCCCCCAAAGTATCACAGCTCTTAATCCTCTAAGGCAAATTTAACTTCCCCTGCCCGTGAGTACTTTAATTAGGATTTCGACATTACAGGGACCACATACATTACTCAAAACACGGTGTTGTCAGAACCCTGAAGTCCTGATGGAGGCAGTCTTCTCATTTTCCTAGAATCCAGGAAAAGGTAACATGCTGTCAGTAAGGTGCCAGATTTAGTGCAAAGGAGGCAAAGCGGCCTCCCTACACAGCTGTATTCCATTCAGTCCCATTCCTTTTAGCATGGAAAACAATTGTTTGCACCTAGACTAGGACCAACTCCACAAGGAGTCATTCCACTCTCAGGGATGCAAAACACTGCCTGAAGGTAGCCGGCACCACACCAATACAGTGCAGAGCCAACCCTCAATAAAACAGCGCTTATTCTTCCAACAGTGTAACACAGCCACAGGCACCACACAGCCTGGACAGCTGACAACTGCTGGATCACTCCAGAAAAATCTCCTTTCCCATCTCATGTACACTCTGACTGCAGGTAGCAGACATGAACAACAGACTTCACTTCCAGTCTTACAACAGTCTCCGCCATTTGGAGGGACTAAACTTAGACTGTTAGCAGTGAACAAGACACCCTACAGTTTGTCTTCTAGGACTCACAACATCCCTATAAATCATTCCTCAGTTGGAATGGCAGGCAAAGATCCTTCATACTGTCAAACAAAAACATCAAAATTCTGCAGTCAACTCCAAGAGTAAATCTGCTTCCCTTTGTTTCCTGACGCGTATCTATAGCGATGAGGCAGAGAAGGCAATGCTAGAATAGACACTTACCTGATAACCACACCTGCACTACTTCTCAGGGGGGCGAAGACCACCCTAATTCCAAGTCATCCTAAAGAAATCAAGCAAATAAGCTTAGAAATTCATAATAGTTAGGTATTAACATTGCCCTATATAATTATAAGTAACTAGTCAGTCCTTTCCCGGGACTGAGTATTTGAAGCAGAGAACTACCTATTACATGTTATCCTTTGCCCTTCCACTGAAAATAAATGTAATTTGTGTCCTGTTGTCCCGCTAACTCCTCTGAAGCCGCCTGCTCCTCACTAGTCCTAAAACCATTCCCAGAAATCTGTTCCCAGTGTATACTTGAGTCCCTTTTAAGAGGTTAATTTATAAAACATTCTGGTGGCCTGCAGCCCACTTCCCTGATAGCTGGATCAAGATCAAAGGAAGGGATAGTTGGAGTTATCTGAGTTTAAGTTATTCTAAGATGTTAAAACTGGGATCAGTGTCAGGGGAGGAGTAAGAATTTGAGGGGCGGGAAGGCAAGAGTCCAGATACCAATGCAGAGGAATAGCTAATGCTAAGGCAAGCCTGCTTGAAGGACATTTCCTAGGCTAAGCCAGTACCGGTGCATAGGAATAACAAAGTAGTTATGGGCATGAACCCAAGGGCAGGGGAGATAGATGGGGTTTAGAGTGGATAGCATAGGGCAGTAACTTTCCTGTCAATATTGTGATCAGAGATAGTTTGTTTGGTTTGGTAGCCTATGGCATTAGATCAAGGAGCAAAGGGGTGGATGGGGGCAAGCATGATTAAGATGTGAGCAGCGTGGAGGCTACTGATGGGGTGTGTCAGAAGATCCACACAGGGGTGCTTGATGGACCAGGTAAAACCCCTGATTTTGGTCCCCTAAAACACCACTCAGGGTAACTTCTGGAAATCGATTAGGGCTGCCTGTTTGCAGAGCTAATTCCCAGCCATCCCTGAGTGTCTATTCAAATTCAAGGGTCTGGGTGCAGACCGGAAAGTGACATGCTGAGTCATGGAACTTCAGGTGATACCAAGTCTGGTAAGGACCCCTGTCCAAAAGAGAGAAAAGGGAGGGGCCTTGGCAGGATGCCAACCACTCAGGATGTTAGTTTTCACAGAAGCAGTAACTAGGTGGCCTCTATTGGATAATCATGATTCATTCTGAGTGATGGGCTTGCCTACAATTGCGGCATTCTTAGAGAACCAGCATCCTAATAATAAAACAGATCAAACAAAAGATCTGTTCACTTGCTGCTGTTTGACCTAAGCTTAGTTCCCAGAACCCCATGATTGATACTCATAACGTTTATTGAAAAACTAGAGCAGAATACTAACTTTTGTTGAGACTGGGCTTCTAGGTTGCCTAGATAACCTAAAGGGGATCCGGCATGCCACAATACCAGATTCAGCATTCCCGTCAGTGAGCTCATTCCATGGGGCACTTCTGAAGTCTCTTTTGAAAAAGGGATATTGTCTGGCATTGGTGACTCACACTTTAATCCCAGCACAGAGGCCTGTAAATCTGAGTTTGAGGCCAACCTGAGACACAAATGAGTTCCAGGATGCTGGCCAGAGTGTTACACAGAGAAACCCATCTAGAAAAATGAAGGGGGTACCACAGTCCAGCTCTTATTATTGTGGGGAGGGGGAGCTATGCACTTGTAGCGAGAGCACGTTCCAGTAACCTCCTCCACTGTCTCAGGCTCTAAATCCGGATGTTTCTGTTTACACCCTCACTGGCTTGATTTCTTTTGTTCTGCTTCCATGTTGTGATTCGAGTAACCCATGTCAAACTTGCCAGACCAGAACCACTAGAGACCTGGCCTTTAGGTTTCTTCCTGCATAACTTGCTCTTTACCTTAGCGGGCAAGCAACTATGCTGACATCCTGGAATAGTTAACAACAGAGTTGGCATGAACCAGGCCCAGAACGCCAACCAGCTATTGGCTGCTGTTCTCCCAGCCGTGTAACACTTGCCTGGGTACAAGGAAACCTAGGCAGCTGCCTACAGCTGGGGCAAAGGAGAACTAGCGGAATCGTACTCACCAGGGCAGGCATCTCCTCAAATTGGCAGCTGGGCACTATGAAATCAAAACATCCCAGATTAAAGTCAGCCAGCAGTCAATGCCCGTGCAGTTAAAAATAAAAGAGAAAACAAAACTCTCTGCCCCCAAGCCCCCTTCACCTTGTGAAGGTTGAGCCAGACAGACACAACAGTAGACAAACAGCTTACCTTTGGGAGCTCTGTCCCTAACCACAATAACTAACTGCCTCAGAGTTCTCTAGTAGGATTACAGTAACTAAACTGAATGTAGTCATGGTACGAGGGGACTTGTGCTAAGAACCTCAATTTCTGACACTTTGCACACTATTATAACACATATAAGGCAAGTTATCCAAGCTCATGCCGTTCCCAAACCTCACGTCTAACCCACTCTAAGCAATTTAAAAGAATATTAGAAATAATATAGGCCTCATTGTTCAGGTCTAACTACCGTTTCAGGGCGTGGGCTGAAGCAGCTCTGGTTCCCCATGGACACGTGTTCCCCACAAACCGTTCACAGTCCCTGCCCGGAGCTCCAGAAATGCTAAACTCTGAACACATTCCAGGTGATTCCCCAGCTGCAAAGGGACCGCACCTCATTGGTGGCTACTCTTGGGGTTACGATTTCCCCTAATCCCTTCACGATGACCTCCAAGGCCGGAGGCACAAGGAAACAAGCCCCTGTCTCTTCCCGTGTCCAGGCAGAAGCCTTCTCACCCTCCGTCTCGCCTAGGTAGGTAAAATCTCCAGGACCTCTCCTCGTCGGGCCCTCACTCACCTACACGTGCTCGGAGCTCCGCAGGACACAGCAGCCTTGGCAGAGGCCAAGGAGGAAAGGGCTGCCTGGAGCCGGCGGGAGCCCCACCCCGGGGCGGTAGCAGGGCAGGGCGATCCCGCCCAAAAAAAGGCGGGGCTAAAAACACACCCGGCTGACGACGTAGGAGAGCGAAGTCCTATTAACACTGACCTGTCTTAGAGAATTGCTTAGTCTCTGAACAAAGGCTACATTTGCCTGGGTCTTTATGTATAGGAGCCCTAGGTTTGCAACTGCTAAAGACAGAGTCCCTCGTGTTCTACTGGGGCCAGGCTGACTGCCTACGGACACCTAGTGCTTGCAATAGCGGTTTCTCTTCCACGTGTGGCGCCCTTTGGTTGCTGCTGGTCTAGCCCATGCTTTTTGTGCCTCCAGTGCAGATCCTTCAGCATCTGATTTGTCGGTCGGTTAATGGTGCCCCTAGCCACACAGATCATCTCGGTGAGTCATGTTTTAAAACCTGCAGACCACACCCCTGATGTCCTTCAGTAAAATCCTCGAGTGGACAGATTTGGGCTGCTCCAGTGCAGTAAGCTAAAGGTCACATTCTTGATTTGAATAGACACCTCTCTGTTACCAGGATTTCTTTTGAATACTAATCCTTGTAGTTAAGGATTATGATTCTGGGGTCTGAACCCGATTTGTAACTCCTTCAAATCCTGCTTTCCAACTCCCTTCCCATCTTCCTTTCCAGCCTCTCTGTCAGTAAAGGTCAGGCAAGCCTCTGGGGATCAGCTACTCCTTGGCATGTGCCAAACGTTTTAGCACCTATTTCCTCAGTTCCTTCATGAAAGGGGATGGGCGGTCCTGTACATTCCCGCCTTAGCAAACCTCCTTTGAAAACTCCATGGCGCCACAAATTGATTCCAACAAGAGACCCTAGGCTACAGAGCCAAAGAACTGCTGGAGAAGTAGCAATCACCAATCTTCCTCCCCAGGTTTGATGGAGTTGGACACTGCCCCTAGCTAGGGAAAGGCTTACATAAAGGCAGTAATTTAACGGTCACATGGTCAATGCTGGGCTAGAAAGCAGGGCTGTTTTGCAGTTAAAAAGGAATGTAGCCGAAGACTGCTGTCATAATCAATGCAGAACCCGGCTGTCACAGTGTATTCATAAAAGAGGGTTTATGAGACCTATAAAGCCGAGCAGGCTGGCTAATTTTCCTGCAGAGCTCTGCTAAAGGAGGAATTGCATTGGCACCTCATGTATTTTGCTATCTTCCCTTCCAAACCCACAACACAGAGAAGGCAGAACTACCTGAAGAATTCATGAAAGGAGAGATGACAGTAGAGTATGTGTGCACTTGTTTATGAGGGACTTCAGAGAGGAGGCAGGGAACAATTGAACACAGGGTCTCCGAGGAGAAAAGATCAAGAACCTGGTGTTGACTGTATTCACAATGTAGTCTAGCTAGACACAGAAAGCAAGAATTATGTAAAAGAAAGGCCAGTCACTGTGAATACGGCTATGTGGTGAGCCCTGTCCTCATGCCACAGTGGAAAGGTAGCCAACATTCTTTTAGAGATGGGCCATTTAGTGTCCTGTAGAGAAAAACGTGTCATTCTCCTATATTTTTGTCTCTTATACTTGCAGCAACAAGACTGTAAGGAAATAATAAAAACAAAGAGGGAACACTTCTCTTGTTTACAATGTTGAGAATTAAATACTAGGTCTTGGTTTTTTGAAATCGAATCTTGCGTACCATAGCCGGGTCCTGAATTCATTTCTTTTAGCCCAAGAAAGAACATTTCCAGACCAATAATGTGGATTGGTGGGAAGCAAAGGATGACGGCAAGGCATAGAACAAAAGT